GAGCAAAAGGACTTCTACCCCTTTCGTTTTCTCCATCCACCACACCTCCTCTGTGTAGGAGACAATCACGCCTAGAAAGGAGGGACTAGGGATTTTTGTTTGTTTGTTTTGGGTTTTTTTGCCATTCTTTGTATCTCCACTGCTTAGCATAGTACCTGGTACATAGTAGGTACTTAATAAATGTTTATTCATTGACCGACTGACAACTACCCTCACTGGTTATGTAAGACGAAAGGATGAAGCCAATTGGTGGGATCAATTCCCTCCTCAGTTAATATCACTCCTGCTGCTTTGGGGTATATAGAATTACAGAAAATCAGAAGAGAAAGGGCCCTCAGAAACCATCTAGTCCAGGGATGGGGAACTTGCAGCCTCAGGGCCACGTGTGGCCCTCTAGGTCCTCAAGTGTGGCCCTTTGACGGAATCCAAACTTCACTGAACAAATCCCCTTAGTAAAAGGATTTGTTCTGTAACACTTGGACTCAGTCAAAGGGCTCCACTTGAGGACCTAGAGGGCCACATGTGTCCTCGAGGCAGCAAGTTCCCCACCCCTGATAGTCCAACTCCTTCATTTTACGAAGGAAGCAGGTTCACAAGGTAAAATTCACTTGTCTAAGATTTCACAAATAACCTAGTACCATTAGGCCTCATCCTGGCCAGAAGAAGACTCCAGCCTCCTGACTAGAGGTTTGTCCCTCACATCACTACTTGTCCCTCACATTACTACTTCAATTACGCAGATCTTTGATGCTATATAGGAAAAACAATCTGAGAACTACAATAGACCATGAATTATTGCTCCTTGTTTGGAAGCATGTCTCAGACCAGCCATCTAGGGCCTTCCTTCACCTGGTACAGAATGGCCAAGGCAGCAGAGAAGGAGAGAAGCTGGGGTCTGACATAGCTTTCTAAGGTCTGCAGGGACCCTTACACATGTTAACTCATTCACAACAACTCCGAGGGAGGTTGTATTATTATCTCCATTTCACAGATGAAAACAACTGAGGAACAGCAGGACTGTGTGGCTCCCAGGGTCATAGAGCTAGTAATTCCCTGCGGCAAGACTTGAACTCAGGTGTTCTTGACTCTAAGCCTTGTACTCTATCTCAAAGCAGGTGCAAGGGGAGAGATTCATTTAATTATACCACCCAGCTTCCACTTTCTCCATTTGATGACCAAATCTCCTGAAATCAGGCTAGCTGATGGATCCCAAAGTCCACGCTTGGGATTAAAGGAAAGAAGGAAAGACAGAAAGAAGGTTAGAGGGATGAAGGGAGGGATGTCTGTGAGGCACCAAGAACAAGAACGTATGAGGCTTTTCTCATTGACAAAGGCTTTCCTTTGCACTGAATATTGCTCCTCTAAGCCTGGAAGGCTTCCCCTTTCTGTCTTCAGCCGTTGGAATCCCTGATTCTCTTCCCAAAAATTCCATACATATTGTCTCTCCAGTAAACTCCTTGGGGGAAGGGACTGTCAGTCAATACTCAACAAGCATCTATTAAATTTACTTATTAAGTGCTAGGCATTGTGCTAAGAGCTGGGGATGCAAAGAAAGGTAAAAATAGTCCCTGCCCTCAAGCAGCTTCCATTCTAACCAAAGAGATAATATGTAAGTAGCTAGGTAAGATAGAAGATAAATATAGTTGATGATGAGAAGGCACCAGTGGCTGGGGGTACAGGGAAAGGCCTCCTGAAGAAGAAGGGATCTGAGCTGAGTCTTGAAAGGAGCCAGGAGAACCAAGAGACAGAGGTGAATAAGGAAGGAGAGCATTCCAGATATGAAGACAGCCACTACAGAGGCATGGAGATGAGAACTGGAGTATTATGTGCAGGGGAGAGCAAGTAAGTCAGTGTGGGTGGATTGTAGCATTCATGGAGGGCAATAAATTGGAAGAAAACTGGAAAGGTAGGAAGGGACTAAGATCATGAAGGGTTTTAAATGCCATATGGGAGACTTTATATATGGTCCTGGAGGCAATAGGGAGCCCTTGGGGTTATTGAGCGAGAGTGACCTGGTCAGACCTTCAATTAAGGAAACTCATTTTGGTGACTGAGTACAGAATGGATTGGAATTAGTGAAAGGCTTAAGGCAGAAAGAACAGTTGGGAGGCTAAGGCAATGATCCAGGCAACAAGTGATAAATGAAGTCCTGAACAATAATGGCGGCCATGCTGGGGGAGAGAAATGGACCCATGGGAGAGATGTTGTGAAAGGAGAAACAATGAGGTTTGACAACTGGAGATGTGGGTGCATGGGAGTGGGGACTGGAAGACAACAGTGAGGTTTCGAGCCTTTGTCTTTATCTTGCCAGTACCTACCACAGTGCCTGGCTCACAGTAGGCATTTAGTCAATGCTTATTGGCCGGCTCATTAATTTGACTGAGAAGAGCAGAGCTGAGTAACATAAGCACAGAGAATGGCCACTCTCTCAGCTGGGGCTTGGCTCTACCGTGATGGGCTTCCTGGTGTCTAAATCACTGAGCCGCCCTGTGAGATGAGGCCTGGCCCTGGCTCCAGCAGGCCCCACTTTCCATTCCTGGGAGAGATTCATTTCATTATCCTGGTCCTCAGCAAGATATTTGTGTGTGCAAACATGCACATATGGGCACACACATGCGTCTGTACACTCATGTACAAGCACATGCATGCATGTGCATGCACACACAAAGCTTTCTTCTCTAGGGATGTCTGTTCCACTTCTACTTTCCTTTGCAATTTGGTTGTTCTGACCTCGACCTTCCCCAATGCAGGGGTGCTGCTTCCTCCAGCCCCGTCTGCTGGATGCTCATGGCTGGTGGGTGTTTTCCTAATTATTTATTGAATGGCTTAAAAAATGAAACAGGACTTCTGATGTTGCTCCAGCAGTGAGATATGGTCCCTGTAGGAGTCAACCCCAGTGTGAACTCAGGCCCGTACTAGTGAGGGAGGGGAGAGGCCAGAGAAGCCTGTGTGAGACTGTTGGGAAATGTCTCCATGTTACACTGGCTTGGGACAAGAAGGCAAGGCAGGGGACAGGAGAGGGAGGGAAGGAGGGCGGCTGCTCAGTGTCCAGGAACCCAGCAAGGAACAGTAACATCAAAGTGTGCAGGTCTTACAGAGGTCATTGAATGCCATGGGCGGCTCCTTCCCGGGCTTCCTCTGCCAACAACAGCTAATCCTGTTCTATCAGTAGGAAGCCTGCAGGGTTAATGGTGCTAATCAGGCAAAGTCTGTGCCTGGCCTGAGGCATAAATTAATTCCTAATTTCTCTGTCTCCAGACCCTCTCCCATCCAGTCCAGCCTACAATGGTTGCCGGAATAATTTTCCTAATATATGGCTCCAATCACATCCCTCCCCTGCTCAGAAACATTCAGAGCTCCCCACTGTTGATAGGATAAAGTCCATAGCCTGGCATTCAAAGGCCTGCACAAACTTGCCCCAAATTTACCTTTCCTGCCCATTCTTTGGTAAAGTCATATGAATCAGTCACTTAATCACCCCCTACTCCGATGAAAGTAATTAAGATGCCCTACTGCCCCATCCTTTCAATAGAAATTTCACCTTTAGAGATTCAATCAATCCGTGCAAGGCATTGGACAGCTGCCAAAAGTCCTTAGTCATTTTGGGAGGAGGGATAGCCATCGGATCAGATGATATGATGTTACACAGGAAGTGCATGGGGATTGGGGTGAAGAGGCTCAGTCATGCCCTGTGAAGGCTCTGATAAAATAGCAAGCCAGTTCAGCACCCAGCGTTTCAATACAGTCAGTGCCTTGATGGAAGCAGCTTCAGTCATGTCCTTGGAAGAGAAGTATTTAGAGATAGAGACCCCCTGCCTAATCCCCCCTCTCTGTATGTTTATATAGACATACATATGCATATACACATATAAACACACAGACATACATGTGCACAGTATATGCATATAAATAATATTATATATGATATGTATATCATATGTATTTAAGCAATGTACATATAAAAATGTACATTTATTTATGTGTATAGATGCATATATATATTTATGTATATAAGTAAATATGTTTACATAGTACATTAAAATCTGTGTGTGTATATAAATGTATATATGTATTTATAAAACTGGCTTATGGTTTAGTGGATAAAAAAGGCTGGCCTTTTAGTCAGGAAGACCTAATCTGACCTGTCTCTCACACACTCCAATAGATGGGAGGTGCAAGGGCAAGTGGAGGGTAGGAAAGAAAAGAAAAGAAAAGAAAAAAAAAAGAGAAGAAAAGAAAAGAGAAGAAAAGAAAGGAAAAGAAAAGAAAAGAAAAGAAAAGAAAAGAAAAGAAAAGAAAAGAAAAGAAAAGAAAAGAAAAGAAAAGAAAAGAAAAGAAAAGAGAAGGGCAATGAGGCATCTCTTTTTTTTTTTTTAAGCAGAGAAGAGAACAGAAGGAAAGCCAGAAAGAAGCCCAGACAAGCAGGATAACTTTGAAAACTACAGGTTGACCTGATTATATACTTAATAAGAGAAGTAAGCAGTACATAATGGAGATGTGTGGTTTTATGCACAATCCTGTTTTTCTACTGTTCTGTATATGGAAATGCCCATCTTTGTGGTGTTTAAGAATAAAAATTAATTTTAAAAACAAAACCATTCTTGAATCTCCTAACACAGAAATTGTGGCATTCATCTCCCCACCCCACCCCCATTCCCAGCTTCCAGCTCTGTGTGTCCCCTGGGAGCCAACAAGAAAGTGCAGCGACATCAGCCCAGGAACTGCCAGTGACGGTCCTTGAGCGAACTTCCATTTCTGATGGTGACATTTGGTCTGGTTTTCTGGCTAAGCTACATCTTGGAATTGGTCTTCAGGACCCTCTTTTCCTGAGTATATGTACCCAAAAGTAGGCTGCTGGGCCAGATGACCTAGCCAAGGACCTAGCTGAACCCATACGACTAGACCCTCTCCTCCTCGTTGCCCCCCAAGATCTTTGCAGGCTAGCCAGGGCAGGTCTGGGGCCCGGCTGTCTGGGGCAGGAGAGGCCCAGCCCCTCTCACCTTATCACGGATCCCTTGTCTCATGACCTCCCGCTCAGCCTCCATTTTGGCATACTTGGCTTTCCTCTCCTCCTCTTCCTGCCGAAGGGCTTCCTGGCGTTCCTCCTCTTTCTTGGCTGCATCAGGGTCTTTCTCTTCATCTCCACCAAGCATCTTCCCCATGTCCTTGGTGGCCCCTGAGGACAAGTAGCAGAGTCATTAGCATGGGTTAGTAGGGGCTCAGTGTATAAGCCAGCCCAAATACTAGTGCGTGTTCATGGTGAGTGTGAGCATGCATCAATGCAGGAGGCCACATCACTTCTGCTGGTGACCAACAGATCTCAGCCCAGTCCCAGTACCTACTGCCAGTCTAGGCTTCTAATGACAGTCCCATCCTGGCTCTACCTGCTAAGTCTGGTCGAGATCCTAGAATAATCAGAGTCAGAAAGATTTTAAAGGTCCTCTAGCCTTGTTTCTTAGCCTTGTTTGGGTCATGGAAACCTTTGGCAGTCTGGTAATAGACCACTTCTCAGAATCATGTTTATAAATGCATAAAATAAAATACATAGGACTGATTACAAAGGAAGAAATAAAAATGTAATTTTTTTCCCCATCCAGGTTGATGGATCCCCCTGAAATCTATCCATTAGCCCCAGGTTAAGAACCCCTGATACAGTCCAATTCCCTCATTTTTTACAGACAAGGCAACTGGGGGCCCAGAGAACATATGACCTTTCCTAAGGTCATATAGGTAGTAATTGGCAAGGCCCCAAGTCCTGTGACATCAAATCCAGCATTCTCTCTACTGTACCACATTGCTCAATAATGGATTGTTTCCTGTCCCCTCTTTCTCCATCATCCCTGGTATACCAAAACTACTTGCTCACTCTACCCCTCTTGCCCCTGCCTCATGCCAGGCTGAGAGTTTGTGTATTGATGGGTATGATTAGGTAGAACTGAGGGGACAGGGGAAGTGTGTGAAAATATGTGTTTGTGACTCAGTGTATTTACCTGTGTGCATTTCTCTCACCGTACACCTCTGTGTTTTGGGAGAAGCAGGGACAATTGGACTGGGAATGATAGGTAGCCCAGGAGTGGATATCGTCCAGCTTCGAGTTCTGTAGCTTAGTGAGCACGGGTAAACTGGGCCATGCCTGAGCCCTAGCCTCAGGACTGCGGGAGCTGCGCCTGGTAGGGGTGGAGGCTGGGGCTGCAGGGGCTGGTGCCAGAGTCCTCACTCCTGCCCCGACTTTGCCAGCCACCACTTTTCCAATGAGCGACTGATTCACAGGCCCCTTGCAAGCCGCCCTCAACGCCCTCCTTGTAGTCGGGTAATTACACCCTCTCCAAGGCTCAGCCAAGACCCAGCCCAGCCTCTTGGCTCAGAAAATCCCCTGCCTGGGAGCAGGGAGGTCTGGAGGAATCTACCCCCAGCGCCCAAAGTTGGGGGAGAGCTACAGAGGTAGATCTGGATGCCTAGGGCCCGGAATAAACCAGCCAGATTCCCAGAGCTGGGCAACTGCCTATAGCTACCCCAGCAAGAGGGACTCAGGATGAGAGGAGAGTCATCGATGAGCTCTGTTGTTCAGAGCTTAGCATGGTGTCTGGTATACAGTAAGAGCTTAATAAATGCTTGTTGACTTGTACTCTGGATAAAACCTGTATCGCACCTCTTTAATGCTCAGAAACCCTCTTGGTTTCTGAGACAAAGTCCAAGTCCTCAGCTTAGCACTGAAGGCTGTCCAATCCTCGAGCCAGGTAACGTTCTCTCCTCATGCTCCCCTTCGCACTCTTGGTACTTCAGTCAATCCAGATGGCTTTCTGTTCCCCAGTTACACTCCGTGATCTCTCGGTCTTCTGCTTTTGTTTGCTCTTGCCTCTGATTGGAATGCCCATTCTCCAACCTAGCTTGTTGACATCCTGTTGTTGTTGTTCAGTCATGTCCAACCCTTTGCGACCCCATTTGGGGTCTTCTTGGCAAACACACTGGAGGGGTTTGCCGCGTTCTTCTCCAGCTCATTTTACAGAGACAAACAGGGTTAAATGACTTGCCCAGTGTCACACAGCTACTAAGTGTCTGAGGCTGGATTTGAACTCAGGTCTTCCTGACTCCAGGCCTGGCGCTCTATCCACTGCACCACCTAGCTGCCCATCCTGGGCCACCATGCTCTTGAAGGCCAGGATCAACTGCCACCTCTTCCATGAAGCCTTCCTCAAACCCCACAATATTCCTCAAACTGTCTTGACTCTGAACCCCAATAGCACCTTGTCTGAACCTCCTCATGATGTGTCCCATTCTGTCCTGATAAGAAGAACGGGCATGCAGAGTAAAGTGGATAGGGTCAGGACGACCTGGGTTCAAATCCCTCCTCTAATATTTGCCAGGTGTATGAACCTGGGCAAGTCACAATTTGCATGAGAGTCAATTTCCCCATCTGTAAAATGGAGCTAAAAATACTCAGAGCACCAACTTTACAAATTTAAGTGATTCCAATGGGAATATATGTAAAGCATTGTACAGACTTTCAAGCGCTATTTAAATGTTATTATTATTACGTAGCACTCTACATGGCTAAATTGTAAGCTCCTCGAGGGCAAGAAGAGTTTCTCTTTTGTCCTAGTGTCCCAAGCTCTTAGTCTAGTGCCTGGCACACAGTAGGAGCTTAATAAATGCTTTTTGATGATCTCATTTCATCCTCTCAACAATCCTTTGGAGGTAGAGACACATACATACATGGGGTCCTTGGTCTAGAGCTTGGAAGGGGCCTTAGAGGCCATCTGGTTCAGTCCTTCCATTTTACAGATGAGGGAACTGGAGTTCAGGAAGCTGATGACTTGCCCGGGGTCGCACAACTAATAAACATTGGAAGTAGGATTTGAACCTAAGTCTTCCATGCTCTAAATCCAGCCCTAGAGCTTGAGGCACCTAGGTGGCACTGGGGCTGGAGTCAGAAAGATCTGAGCTCGAATTTGACCTCAGTCACTTGTTAGCTGTGTGACCTTGGGCAAGGTACTTAACCTCTGCCTCAGTTTCCCCATCTATAAAATGGGAATGATAATAGTACCTGCCTCCCAGGGTTGTTGCGAGGATCACAACATGTTACTTGTGGAAACATAGTAAATGGCAGAGCTGTGTCTGGAACCCAACTAACTTCAAATCCAGGTCTCTTTTCACTATATAACACCACCTCTACCTTCTTTCTCCTACTAGACTGGCAGCTTTCTGAGGGCAAGAGATGGGTCCTGTTTATTTCTGCCTCCCCTTGGTCTAATAAAGTATTGGGCCCCATGCAAATGCTTATTGTATGAATGAATGGCTATGAACCAGGAGGCCCAGGTCACATCAGTTCTTGATTACTTGAACTAATTAAATTCCATAAACATTGATCAAGTGCTTATTATGTACCAGGCACCCAGAGATACAAAAAGGGGCAAAAGACAGTCCTGGCCCTGAAGAAGCTTATAACCTAATGGACATACAGAGGAGAAAGGATGATCAATCCCAGTCTCAGTCGTTCAACACATCTTTACTGAGCCCTCCCCCCACCATAGGCCAAGCTCCCAGTTTGGCCTCACATGGGGAGAGGTGGGAGAAAGAAAGGATTCATAGTCAAGGAATTCTCAGATTAGGAAAGTCGGAGGAAAAACAGACCCAGACCCCAGCCAACACCCCTTCAAGAAGCTAACAGTCTGGGAAGTAGACATAGGAGAAGGCGGATATATGCCCAACAGCAGCACGTTGGGGCAGACTGAAAGAGATAGAAAATAATCAGATTTAGAGTTCGAAGGGGCCTTGGAAAATATCTAATCCAATCCTCTTATATTACAGATGAGGAAACTGAGGTTTACAGAGTTAATAATCATAGCCTGAATTTATATGCTGTTTTAAGTTTTGCAAAATAATTTATAGACATTTCTTCATTTGATACTCACAGTAACATTCATTGTAGGATAATGTGCTATTATCAGCCACATTTTCCAGAGGAAACATTCTCAGAGAGATTAATGACATGCCTATTTATGATGAAACATTCGACTCACCTCCAAATAGAGAGGTAGGTGGTGGTGGATTCATAGTACAGGTGGAGACAATTAAATTTTTTTGGGGTGGGGGGAAGTAGCCAATGCAGGAATTTGGTTTGCTTAACTGCTGATTATAATAGGTTTTGTTTTTCTTGTTTTCTCAATGGGGGCACAGGGGAGGGGGAGAAGAGAATACAGTCCTGAAAAAAAAATTTAAAGAAACAACTTACCAAGGGTCACAGGACTAGTAAGTACCTAATGGTGGATTTGAACCCAGGTCTTTCTGGCCCCAAGTCCAGTACTGTATCCACCATATCACATAGATTGAACTTATCCATTGTCCCATAGGCAATAAGTGTATAAGTTAGAATTGACTGGGGCTCAAGTCCCCTGATCCCAAGTTCAGCCCCATTTCTACTGCATCAAGCTGCCTAGCTGACATCCCTAGGCACAAGTCCCATTAATTCCATCACAGCTAGCTCCCCACCCCACCTACCTTAAAGTTGCTGCTTGCACCAGACTGCATTTGTTTATTCACCTGGCATCCGCCTGCCCACTTCACCGCCTGTGGTTTCTGTTCCTGCATTGACACAGTTTTCTGTCCCTGATCCAACCTCAAAATTCTGTTTTAAACCCCAATACCCCCCTTCCTGAATGACTAAGACACCATGATTCTGGCTTTAGTACTTACCAGGTCTGGTACTTAAGAGAGGGTCTGACAAATTGATATGGTGGCTTACAGGAAAGAGAGCTCATTTCCAATTGGGGTGTATCAGGGAAAATGTTGAAAAAGTGAAACCGTTCGATCTAGAATTTCTAAAGATAGTTAGGATTTCAACAAGGGCAGATGAGAGGGATGGCATGCCGAGTAGAGGTAACCATTGTGGTCAAGGGCTCAGGAGCAGGAAATTGCAGTGTGGGGTTAGGCTAGACCAGCTAGAATGTAGAGTACATACATGAAGGGGATGGGGGTGGTATTAGTGTGAGATAAAGCTAATGAGTAGATTTGAGCCAGCTTATGGAAGGCTTTGAATGCCAGGGTAAAGAATCTCTATTTTAATTTAGTAGGCAATGAGGAATGATGGGGACCCACAGAAAATTTTTGAGTAGGAGAGTGATGAGATCAGAGTGCTCTGTTCCTAAGACTATTTATACACAGCATGTGTAAGACGAA